TTTTGTGATCTCACCTGTTTGGGTCGTCGGCCGAGCGCGTCCACTGAGTGCAGCGGCTGAATGAACGTCTATTTCGGTGATGGATCGCTGGCAGTAGTCCATCTGACACGTGCGGCTGGTGATAGTATGGCAAGCCATGTTGCCATATAATTGGATCGTCAGCTACGCGTCTACTGACGCAATCAAAAGCCCGACACTGACCCGGCCCGCACATTATTATGGACCCACCCGGCACTAATCTGGGTCAGGCGGGGCTGGTTAGAAGTGACAGCTCTAGTCTGAGGGACAAAACACCCTCCCACTTCCACCCAACAGATAAACAGCCTCCTCCTTTCTGATGGAGGCTCAGTTATTTGTCATGTGCCAAAAAATGTACAAGAAGAAGAAGATGCAGAAGTTGAAGGGAGTTCAGCGCGATAAGCAAAATTCATTATGAATATTGGTGGTTTTCACTGTAAACAGAAACTATATTATCTCTACTCTGATTTTATGGGGGTTTTATTTTGTGATTTTAGGCCTATTATGTTGACACAGTAGGTCAAAAGTAAAAAATTATTTAAAAGTCACACAGGGAGGTTGTGCTAAACAAAATTACACCAGACATGACAGGGTTAACTATTTTTAGGGTGAAATAAGAACGTAAAATCAAAAATAGTCCAAAAAAAGTCAAATTTCACCGTTACAGTAACTCCAGAAGATTAAAGACTCCAAAAACTAAAAGTAACTTTTTTTTTTTTGCATTTTTAGACTTAACAAATTGTCACGTTAGCCAGTTTACAGAAAGTATGTATTATATTCCTAAATAACATTAGAGAGGCATATTTTTATCAAGGTCTTTGTCTTAAAAATATTCAGTTCAGTTTATTTATATAGCACCAAGTCACATCAGAAATCATCTCTCTTTGTTTTCCAATTCTCTATGAAGCCCTTTGATTAATTTAAATATCTGCATTTGGCCAGCTGAGAAAATATGTTGTCTCCCCCTGTGCTAAATAATCATAAAATTTACAAGATGTTGTTTTGTTTTTTTTATAAAAGGGTTTTATTTGACAAAAACTTAGCCAGATGAAATGAGAGCTTTACATCTGGCAATAAGTTTCGATGACGTCTTACTGCGCTTGATGTCCATGGTAAACAGAAATACTGGTGTGAGGTGTTGATGGTTCAGGAAGGTGTTGTGTGCACCACGAGAAGAGCGGTGCACAGCTACCTCCACAGCTGCTGCTTACTGAGAAGAAACCTTTAGTGTCTTTATGCCGAGTCAGGTGCTTTACATTTTACAACCTCAACGGATTAATTTTTTTGTATTCTGTTTTCACAGCCAGCTACATCCCTCAAAGCTCCGTGGAGGATCTGTTCCCGGGGACGTGGTACTTGACTCGAGTGGACGACAAACACCGCAGGGAGTACGCTCGCAGACCTCTGGATGATGACCTGCCGTCAGAACCAGAACGTGTTCGCTCCAGTGCAGCTGCTGAGGTGAGAAACAGGACTGTGCCTTCCAACCACTGGGGTCTGAGAGAAACCAGTGATGACTTTGTGCATATATTTGGAGACGACTAATCTACTGTAGTCAATTCAGTTTATTTATATAGCGCCAAGTCACAACAGAAGTTATCTCAGGGCACTGAACAGAAATATTCATATATAAAATGTGGTCAGAAACGTTCATAATTAAAAGTAGTCCTCAGCGTGATGGTAAAGTTGTGTAAAACTGGGCCGATAAACTCAAAGATCCACTTCATTCACATTGTTTCAGTTTTGACACACTAATAGAAGATCGTAGTGTTTATGTGATCAACTTTACACCAATGATTTTATAAAGGTGACACATTCAGTGACAAATGAGAAATTGCTATTTCAGATGTCCAGCTTACTTGTTTTTATTTTTTTGTTTCAGCCATTTTCAATAATAAACACTTTAATCATACATGCAAAGAAACTACACGTTTAAATCCACACGCACAGTTCAAACTGAAATAATGTCAACATTAAAGTAATTATCACATGAGCCTTAAATGACTGAAAAGGCGTAGGTTGAAAATGAGAAGGCTCAACAAGTTGCACTTTCTAGTCTGAATATACAGCAAGACACAAGACAAACTTGGATCATTTTTCTAGTTTAAATAAAGTCAATTTAAAATTTGCTGTAAGAAGGAAAAAAGCAAGAGTTCCAATTGTCGTCTTGTCGTCGGTTCAGTGAATGCAGCATGATTTAAAATAGATACCGGTCCGGATGGAGAGACAGGTGGTTCTTTACTGAGCTCCGTTTGTCTCACAAGTGTCTGAAAATCTGAACAACAGAAAACATATCGATCTTCTGACTTCATATTGATTTCAGAAACTCAAAATCTCATTTCAAGCACACGTGATCAACTATCAGATATCGGTGGTTTACAGACCGCTGATGTTGATGTTTGTGGTCTGTCTTTGCGCTGCAGCACATCCCCAGTCCAGCCAAGAAGATGCCTCGCATCCCTGCAGCCACAGCTGGACCTGAGGCCACCAGCAGCAACTGAGAGCCAGTCTTCTTCTGACGGTGTCCCCGGTCCAACAAAGGTGGAGAAAACGACAGTTACATGAACCTAGAGCTCAACTGGACAATAAGAGGACAGGATCACAACCTTTTAAACTTCACACAGAGGAGGCGGTGGTTTGTAGAGATCCACTCCCGCAGGTCAGAACGTTACAACAGCCAGATATCAAACTCCACGCTCGACCAGGCCGTCCCTCGTTTTTAGTTTGTCCAAGAAATCCTCATTTCAGATCTTACATTTGAATGTATTTTAGCTTCTCGTTTAAGCAGAACGAACAGTTGCATTCACAAACGCTGCGCATGGCGTTGGCTGCTGCCAGCCTGTGGAAAGAAATTCAAAATAACTTTACTGAAATCTTCCTCCAGCTCATCAGGAAAAAAAACCAGAAAGACTGCCTCCACATCCCAGCAGGTGATGGAGCTCGTCTCTGCTCAGCTGCTTTTCATTTAGTCTGTTTTATATTAAAATGTGAGCTGTTTTTATTTCTGGCTGTCGTCATGTGACCATTCAACAGACGTCAGGAGTCATGTTCTTTGAGAAATGACTTCTTAGAGACCACCTTCTGCTGGTTCTTCTATATAAGCATGACACATGAAGACTTTGCGTGTGATGCTGCATGGCGAGTTTGGTCCAAAACTATAATTTGACAAATTTACAGCTGTGTTCAGAATCCATTTTAAAAGGAAAAAAGAACGGCGTGAGAAGCAACAATGTGATTAACTGCTGCTTTGTTTGGCTCCACCTGGTCATTTGATATTTTCACTGAGACGTCATTACAGACTGTCGTTGATCTGATTATGTTTCATAAGTGTCATCTGCAGCCAGTGCAGCTGTACAGGGCCATCACATGCAAGGAAAGAGTTCATTATACTGGAGCAAATCAAGTGTAACAACGTGTCAGTATGACGCTGGCATTGTCTAAACAGAAACATGTTGAGATATGAGTACAGTTTTAATGTCAGCATTAAGAAGTGGGGCTACGTATCAGTAGAACCATGATAGAACCATGATGAGGAAATGTCCTGTTCTTGTGGTTAGAATGTGCTCATTTTATATTGGAGGACCAATGAGATAAATTTCAATATAAATCTGCTTTGTTAAAAGTTTAATTATTGTATTTTTGATTTCTGCAAAGTCACTCAGGTTTCCCTCTTGTTCAACTTTGAGTTGTTACTCCTATTTTACAGGCAGTATTTGGGGCCACAGACAGTGAAAATTCACGCTTTTACTCCTTTTTATGCTGAATTTACCGTCTGACACATTTCGATTTTGCCAAACTTTATGTTTAATAACTCGCCAAACACGGAGGGGGTTGTAGTTGGCGAGGCGGTTAAAGAAGAGTCTCAAACAGAAGTGAAACGTTGGTGCTTTGTCTTTATGTTCATCAGTAGCTGTAGCCTGCAGCTAACAAACAAACAAAAGGAGAAACAGCCTCGGAACAGGAGCGCAGTGGTCGCTCCGGCTCAGAGGCTACTTGATGTAAAGTAGACTTCCTTCTAGAGAAGCCTTACAATAAATGCACGAGGGACGTACAAAGTGTAAAATAATGTTTTTAATCAATAGTGTACAGATCTATTCTTTTAAACTGTACAGTCACTTGGGTCCTGAGACGTCAGGACCTGGTCGCACCAGTTTCATGACGTCACTCTGAGTGCTACGTTAGCTGGTGTGTGGTTGTGCTGCCTGGGTCAAAGGTCACCGTATCTTTTCCATTGTTTATGTACAGCTCAGACTGAGGTTGTTTACGCTCTGTAGATATGAATGTGTTGATGTCCTGTCAGGTTCGTTGAGTAATAAATTTTAATAAACATGTAGAGAGAGAATAAATAAAAATGAAATTGTGTGGTGCTGTGATTATCTTTTCTTTTTTTTTTTTTAATAAATCATTACTTTGTGAACTGGATAACTTGAAAAATAAGTAACTTCCAGTGTGGTGTATGAGTGCATCTAAGCATAAGGTTCGTTTTTTAAAAAGTCGCTGCGTCAAAATCCAAGATGGCCACCACCGTATACACTCAACAAAAAATATAAACGTAACAGTTTTTCTTTTTCCATTTTTCATAGCTGCACTCAAAGACTTTTTGTACACAATAGGCATTTTCCTTAAATATTTTTCACAAATTTGTGTAAATCTGTGTCAGATTCAGCTTTATTGTCATTGCATCAAAGCACAACAAAATTACATTTCAGTGCAGCCCGTCTGAGAAAACAAACAGAAATGGGGAGACAAAGATGACTGAGGCCGCAACCTTCAGGAGGTGATGCCCTTTTCGTTTAAATAAGAAAAAGCAAAACTTGAGGGGAGGTATAAATATCATATCTCACACTGTGTCCTTGATGGGACACTGAGTTGCAAAAAAGACCTCGGCACAGAAACCGTAACATACCTGATAACCTACCCATCCAGGCTGCCATATTGTAATGTTTGCAGATGATACAGCGGTGGTGGGATACATCACAATGAGTCCAGCTACAGGTGGAACACCTGGAGAGCTGGTGCAGGAAGAACAACTTTCACATCAATGTGAAGGAGATGGTCGTGGACTTCAGAAGAAACAAGCACACCATGGACACTGCCAGATAGTTCCATAGTCCTGATAAGAGATGGTGCAGTGTCTACCAGCGGGGTTGCAGAGCTTGTTCATATAACATCCAGGAGAGTTTGAGATAGTTGGCCAATTCAAGGCCAAGCAGGGGAGCCAGATTCAGATAACAATTATTTTGGGTCAGGCCAGCTCTGCTTGATTTCTGTCTGCCTTCATAGCTCTGCAGGTACGTCTCAATGGTGACTCCAAACAGCCACATTTTGTGGTCAACACCACCGGGCTGAGCTTGTAGCTTCTCCAAGGTCGATTCCTTCCCACCTGCGAGTTTCAGGAGCCGTAAGTGGCCTGCGATTCTCATAAATCATGTCCAGCTTATGGCTCAGCCAATCTTTTCGTGCACGGAGCAACCCTGACTAAATACACTGATGGCTCTGACGCAACATGGAGTCAGTTTGGACCCGTCTTAAAATTAACAAAAAAATTCACTCAGAATGTTTTTTTATTGCCAGATTTGTTTCATAACTCTTTGTTACTTTATTAGGCTTCCTTTCCCATTATTATTATTATTATTATTATTATTATTTTTATATATTTTCAGTGTGGCATTCCATGACTGTCTTTTCAACTTTCACCTTACTTTCAATAGGAAAAAAGTAAAATGAACCCCAACAGAATGTTATATAAAAATAATTGGTTATTATGTTATCTGTTACTGAGGACTGTTAGAACACATTTCTTGAATAAATGTATTGTATTTCTTGATTTTTAAAATAGTATTTATTATAATATTATAACTAGAGTGACATCTATGGTGTTGGGGTCAGAATTGACCCTTATGTTTACTTCAAGCAAAAGGCAACAATTTTATTATTTTATTGAACTTTAATAATCTAAATACAAATACAAAGTCTAAAACAGAACAATATTAGTACAAAATGGAGATTTGCCAGGCTAAACAACATCAACCAATTTAGCAAATCAATCACATTCTATTTCCACACAAAGTTATTTTGTGCAAGAATATGCATGTGTGCTTAGATGCATGTGTGGCATACAGGGTCCGTGTACATTCAGGCAGTACACGGACCATACAGTGACACTTTTCATGTGCTCTTTGCTGATATTGTTTGCAGATGAAGCATGATGTGTTTGTCTTTTAGTCCATGTTTCTGTATCAGACCTGACACCTCATCCTTTGAGAATCAGAGCGACTCAGTGGGGTTGCGGGTGTGCTGCTGATGTTGAGGCGGGACTGACAGGTGAAGCTGTTAAGTCTGGTTCTCTTTGCTTTACCAATGGAGTAGGACTACTTACTGATGACAGAGATGGAGTGGTAGATGTGCTGCAGCTGGATCCTGAGGCACCTGCTACATTCGCTCAACGTGCAGCTTGTCAAGGGAAGTTCCTCCTCCAGAAATATTCTCCACTTGTTGTTTTTGGTTGAGTTCCACCCTTGATGGATGTGGATCACATCACAAATGCATTGCAGACACATCCAGGATGTTAAAAAACAACTACTGTCCATCTTCTGGTCATTCGCTGGCAAGTATAGGTGGCAATCAACTTGTCCAGGTTGTCCACATCTCCTTTGTTTTGATTATAGTCCAGTATAATCATGGGCTTTCTGTCACTTCATGATGAC